AGTACACACCACTCACAATAACGAACGGTTTTATTTTTCACGCTAAAAAGACAAATATTCATAAACTTACAAAGCGAAATAATACAGAAATACCAAAAACATACATATTAACCTTACACAATACATAAATGAATAAACTGAGACTGTCTAAGTTAAAATATTACGACTGTCACATGCACGAAAATAAATCAGTCAAATTATGCTCATTTTTACCGTTCAAAAACAATCAAATCTTCTTGAGTCAAGCCAGCCAACAGAGCAATACAAAATCGACACTAATACTAAGTTTCCTCAATCAAAAACGTCCAAAACAGGTACAAAGCGACGAAATCCCTTTTAAACAACTCAGTTCTCTTAAAACGTCACGACAACGTTTGTTCTTGAGCCCGCAGTATAATGAACACGTACTTCACATAAAGTTTCTCAACGCCCGTCCATCACTCCTCCCCATCGTTCGTCTCGATTTCATCGGGGCGACGATCGTATCCGCATTCCTCTTCGAGAAGACATAATTTTGTAACTGGTCTGGTATAAACACCATTGTTAGTCTTCACTTTGGCAGCTCGAACGCGTCCGTCTTTTCCAGAACATGTTTCAACAACCCGTCCTAACCTCCACTCACCACGTAGATCCGCTATGAGAACAACGTCATTAACTGAAATGTTTCTTCCCTCGTTTCGCCACTTCTTCCGGGAGATGAGATTAGGCAGGTAGAGCTTCACCCACTGCTGCGACACATGGCCAGAAATGAAGGACAACATGGCTGGCAGTCATGCGCGTTAGGCTTTCGCCAAAAAAATTCAAAATGGCGGCATACTATAGATTTGATAAGAGAAAATTCAAAATACGCATTTTGTGTTGGATCACGTTAAGAATTTATACTGTCCCACGTCTACAAATTTATTAAATAAGGTCAGTATCAACTCGCGAAAATCTGGTAGCAATCCGAGTAGCGGAAATATGTTCCCGAGAGATCGATATTTATACTTCTCACCTTGTATATAAACGCCTAGTAAATCGACACGATTTGCCAAAGTGAGGTTTTCCAAGACATAAATTTGGCAACATATGGTCGAGTTTTCGCACGGTCCCACGTCCAGACGAATTCGAGGTGAACTATACTGTTTTTAGCAGCATTTAAGGGCTCAACGGCTCCTTTAAACCTGTTCCCGAACGCCTTGAAATATAGAATTTTCATGCTGAAAATTTGATGTAATGTAGTCCATGAAGTGCTGAAATATAGTTCTTTAACTAGCGTAAACAAGCGAAATATCGCTCCCCACTTCGTTTCTTGTTGCCATTTTACATTCCTGAGCTGTTGCCTGGTTACCAGGGTAGATACCGCTGTATTAATGTTAAATTTGCTCGTATATTCATAAATAGATGGTGCCATTTGCCGCGAAATTCAATATTTTTGGTTTTGCTTGCGAAGATTCGTTCTGAGATTTCACGAACAAAGGGATTACTTTTGCTAGTGTTGATATTTACATTTATTTTATTTGATTGTAGTTGTTTTATACTGATTTTGAATATAGTATAATGTCTGATGTTCCACTGTTGGGTGCTCATTTGCAATGGAAATTAGCCATCGAAAGATCTTCATTAGCATATGCCTGTAAAAGTACAACCAACAATGTACTTTTTGCTGTGGATATACCTTACCCTCTACTGAGAGCTTGGTATAGTTTAGTTGTTCTCAAGAAGCCTGTCCAACCTTCCAGCGAAGCAACAACAGTGTAATTAATACCTAACTACACGTTTGTCGATTTGCTAGAACATTCAATTCCTGGGCATTCGTTTGCTATTAGCCGTGATGAGGTCACCAGATCTGAAGTAAACAAATCACTTCTACGTATTGCAAGTAAAGTTGATATGGAGTATTACAATACGAGAGGTAGGAAGAGAATGGCACTGGATAGCAGAAGCAAAAAGTTCCATATTTTTGAGGGACAAACCATCTCATTAGCACAACTCCAACATGAAAGCCAACAGGTTCATGATGAACTTGAAGAATGGAGGAGCAAGTGTACCAATCTGGAAGCAGATATACAAAAATTATATGGTGAGATGGAAACTGCTATAAATGAAAAAAACAAAGAGATTTCAGATCTGCATTCAAAAAATGAGGAACTTTTAAGTTACATTGAAATACTTGAAAAATCCCAAGATTTGCAGCACAAAGGAAAAGACATTTCTGAGGTCATAAAAAAATCAAGAACACTGAAAAAATATTTATCTCGAGCCAACGTTGCATTGTGGTTTTCAAGATCATTTGGCCTCCAAGTTGAGAGTTTAATTGTAAGCGAAGTTAAATCTGGTGTGAAGCATTTATATATAATTTAACTCTTCCAAACAAAACTACTGACCAAGCAAGTGACAAAGGTTTTGATGCACTCTCGGTTGATGATAAATCCAAGGTTGAAAAGGTCCTTTTTCTGCTTGACAGATTTTGTGTCGGTGATCATTTTTACCATGAGTTGTCAATGGTTATAAATGGATTGCCAAAATCTTATCTAGTCAAGCAGAGAAGGGACCAATTGAACAAAATGTGTCACATAAATGCACTACCAGGTGACCAGGAAGGGGCCCAAGTTTCTTTCAAGGAATTGTTGAAAGAAAGGGTACAGAATTATATAACAAGTCATCCAAACATAATTAGTGACGGTGTACCTCTTAGAGTGAAGATTTCAGGAGATGGAGCAAATATGACCAGATCGTCAAATTACATTCTTATGACCTTTGGTTTGCTTGATGCATCAGAGGACATAATGGCAGCTAATGGAAACCACACAATAGCTGTGGTTAAGGGTAAGGAGGACTATGATGTGTTGAAGGAGTCATTCAAAGATATCCTCCGGGATATCAATGAAGTGGTTGCGGAGAAGAAGATAGATGTTGATGAAGGTACTGTGAATCTAGAATTTTTTTTGGGCGGGGATTACAAATTCATCCTGTTAATGATCGGCCTCAGTGGAGCGACATCAAACCATGCATGTGTATGGTGTACTGTTCACAAAGATGAGAGGTGGAACATGAGTCATGACTTAGAATACTACAACTCACCACCCCTAAAAAGAACATTAGAGGAAATGCATAGATTGGCAGGTAAAACAAAACAAAACTTCTGCTGTGTACATAAACCCCTTTTGGATATTGAGCTAAGTCATGTTATCCTAGACGAGTTGCATTTGTTGCTAAGGGTCATGGATGTACTAATTGGCAATTTAGTTCAAGGCAAGCCTGAAAATAAGCGGCCGGTCGCGGACATTGTCCGGTACGAAAAGGGGTTCTGTCCGACACAACTGCTTTTTTGCCGGACATTTTGTCCGGCAGCATATCAATACTAATAGAAATAAAACTGTTTGCTACTGTATTAAAAAAGTACCTTATCGAACCCAATATCTTCGCTTGTATCTCTTTTATATGTATTTATTTTAATTCTCCTGTTTAAAAATGTATTTGAATAGTTTGAAGCCGAATGTATGGCACTAATTTTTCGCTTATTTTGACAATAATAACTGCCTGCTATTTTGTGCGCCCGCATTACTTGCATACGTTATCTGATGTACTTCGTGTAGATTTGAATTAAATGTATAACAACCACATGGAATTTTTTAAAGAAAAATGGCGTCTCGAATCACTGACTTTTTTGCGAGAAAAAATGCAAATTCTACAACATCTAATACCGCCATACCTGTACTTCCGGATGTAAATGACCGGGAAATGCCAAATCCGGATTCAAGCACGAAGAAACGTGTCTTGAAACTAGCGACAGTTAAGAGGTGGATTAACGAAGATCTAGCCAAAGATAATGGTAGTATTTGGATGCATTACGAAGCTAACAAGCAGGAACATGTTGAAAATCTATACTGCAAAATTTGTCAAAAGTATAAGGAGCAAATATGTACCATGAAAGATTTCTCATATGCCTGGATAAATGGGTCAAAAAACTTGAAGTTATCGAATGCAAAAGATCATGCAAATTCGAAGTGTCACATTCGGGCATTCCGATTACACGCAAACGAGGTTAGGGCTTGCACTGTAGAATCATTACAGTTGCCAGAAAAACTAATTCCCGGACTGAAACAACCAACTGTTTTCGAAGGATTTGTTCAAATGTCAGATATAATGAAAGAACAGATAAAAAAGAAATTTGAGCTTGCCTATTTCGTGGCGAAAAAGGAACTTCCTTTTACTATGTATGAAGATCTAGTTACCTTAGAGAAACACCATGGTGTTGACATTGGCAATGCATATGTAAATCGCATTGAATGTGCTGATTTTATTGATTACCATGGAGAATACCTGTCAAAAACACTGACAAACGATCTGAAAGAAGCAAAGTTTTACAGTGTTCTAACAGATGGAACAACAGACTGCAGTGTTACAGAGAAGGAGCTTGTCTATGTACTGTATTTTAATCCAAAACAAACTGGGGAAAACATTGGGGTTAAGCTGGCATTTCTTTGTTTGAAAGATGTCAAGAAAGCTGATGCACCTGGCATTAAGTCTGTAATTGAATCAAGCTTTGCTTCTTTGGGTATCACTAATAATGAACTTTATTCCAAACTTGTTGGGTTTGGTGCAGATGGAGCTTCGGTGAACAGTGGTGACAAAAATGGCGTAAAAGCCTTGCTACAGGAAAAATCGCCATGGTTAATCTTCCAGTGGTGTGTGGCTCACAGATTAGAGCTGGCCTTGAAGGATGCACTCCAGCCAACCTTTTTCAAGCAAGTTGATCAGATGCTCACAAGGCTGCATTCATTCTATAGCAAGTCGCCTAAGAAGCTACATGAGCTTAAATCACTTCATGAACTATTGAAAAATACATTTGACTTTGTTGAAGGTTCATTAAAGCCAAAACGAGCAAGTGGAACACGCTGGATTTCATTCAAGCTGGCAGCCTTAAGCCTTGATAAGTTTGGAATTTATCTAACGCATTTGGAAAATCTGGCTGAACAAGAAGGAAATGCTGAAATTGTTGGGTACTTGAGAAGGTGGAAAACCAGTCAAATGCTGCTGCATATAGCATTCTTTATTGATGTGTTAACTCCTGCTGCAGAGTTATCAAAGATTTACCAGGAAGAAGATATAGATATTGTGAGTGCTACCAGTGTTTTAAACAGAACCAAGCACAAACTTGAACTCTACAGCAACCTGAGATTACAAGATCTTCCTGCCACAAAGTATTTGCTGAGCAAAGTAGACAAACAAGGTGGTACTCACACATACCAAGGCATTGAATTCAGTTCTATTCAATTTGAAAGAGAGTTGGAATTGCTAAAAGCAAAGAAAAACATAATTACTGAAGCTGTGTGTGCTTGTATTTCTACTTGACTGGATGATTCTGGGAGTCCTACCTTACAGGACATTGCTGTTGTGCTAAATATTGAATCATGGATGGCAAGAGCTTCCCTGCCTCAGGAAGATGAATCAGATGATGGGAACGACTCAAACAAAGAAAATTCTTCTCACAAGTTTAATGAAGGGTCATTTGATGTCGAAATCATCAGATTGTTTGAGCATTTTCAACCTGTCTTGGATAATGCTGATGTCAAGTGCCCATGTACAGAAGTTGTTGCTGAGTGGCATGACTTGTTAACCTATATCATCAATTACCTACAGCCAAACAAGCACAACTACAAGAA